GGGTGGTGGTAGGTTAAGTAGGATACGTAAGTTTATTCAGGTATACACAAATACAGTTACATAGATTATTATACATAGCAGCATATGTGCAGAGAACCTAGGATAACCCAAAAAAAGTCAGACAAAGTGACTTATTTCCATTAGAACACAGGGTTTTGGTAGTCTGATATAGTAGGATGGCGTGGGATAATCAGCTGGGTGGGATGATGAGGTAGCCGGGCTGTGGTTCATGCTTCTATTTACGTGCGGCCAGCAGTAACAGCCTGATTGAACAGATCCTGATCCACCACGAGGCCTGGTCTCAGACAGTACTGAGCCCTGAGGTATAAAACTTCCTACAATGAAAGTCTCTTAATTTTCACTTATTCTTCCTGTTAGTTTTGACAGCAAGACAATTCCTCTGGCCATTTATCCGGTTATTCCTACTGTGTTTCACACTTATCGAAATCTTTCACTAAGTCTGCATACTGTCTCTCTTTCTATTCTTCATGTTTTAGCGGTTCAGAAACTACAAGAAGCAAGAATGTCATGTTCTAAACCCATCCTGGTAAGAGGAATCAACTACACCAGTTGACTGTTAGAGGTGGGGTACAGGAGCTGCAACTCAACCCCTACAAGCACACACACCACTGCAACATAACCCTAATGAAAAGCAGGGGTGCCATGAGTACACTAAGAAAAAATAGAGTCCGGGGCCCAAGACTGTTCAACAGCCTTCCACCATACATAAGGGGAATTACCAATAGACCCCTGGATGCCTTCAAGAGGAGGCTGGACAGATACCTGAAGTCAGTGCCCGATCATCAGGGCTGTGGTTCGTACACCGAATTGCATGCGACCAGCAGTAATAGCCTGGTTGATTAGATCCTGATCCACCGGGAGGCTACGGGGACGTTAACCCCCGGAAAGACCTCCAGGTAGACTCCAGGTTAGGTAGACGTAGGTAAGGGCGAGTATACAGATGATATACAAAAAGACACACTTCTGCCTCACGTTGCATAAAACTATACATCTTAAAATACAAGTTTACAGAAAACATAATTTCATAAAAGGATTCTCAATTATTATCATTATTTCTGACATTGTTGCTTGCCAAACCAAGGCGGAATTTAATTTTGTTCACAGGTTATTAAGTTGTAGCTGAGATAATGTTCCTAACGCTCCCCAAGCTACTGTGAAAATTCCTCATACAAACAAAAACACACAAAGGCCAGCCAGCACAAAGACGCACATGCGCGCTGGGAGTGTGTGTGTGTGTGTGTGTGTGTGTGTGTGTGTGTGTGTGTGTGTGTGTGTGTGTGTGTGTGTGTGAATGATGTGAGTTGAGTGAGTGAGTGAGTGAGATGAGATGAGAGAGAGAGAGAGAGAGAGAGAGAGAGAGAGAGAGAGAGAGAGAGAGAGAGAGAGAGAGAGAGAGAGAGAGAGAGAGAGAGAAAATGTTGTTCATACTATGGCCTTTCAAATTATACTACATATGATGTTTGGCTTGATAAAGCCCACTATGTGGACGAAACGTTGTCAATAAAGGATCGAATTATACAGCATCTGTATGTATTTTCCATTTCCGCTACAGAGATTTTGAAAAAAAAAAAACATTTTTTAAGTTAGATTTTAGGTCAAAAGCAAGACTACACGTTAAGCAACTAGAAATGTTGCTTGGGTTGCTACCTTCACTGTCAGCTTGTAGTTGTTGTGGTTATTTTGTGGCACAGTTTGACAACTGCTTTGTATGCCCCTGAAACTCATAATACGAGTCGCTAGGTTAAGTCAACGTTACACAGATAACCCGCACATGGGAGACGAACTTAAGACGTTTCGGTCCGACTTTAACCATTACTAGTCACACACACACAGGCGCGAAGACAAGGGAGCCTTTATATTCTTTAAGTTAACGATAGAGATAAATGGTATAAAATACCGACACGATGAGAAAATATACACAAATATAGTATAATGGGATCCTTTAACAGGCCTATGGAACTGGCGCACTTCTCAGCAAATTCAACGTCCTGTTATGTTGTCATTTTTCTCTCTCATCAAGTGGATTTTTGGTATATAGTTTTCCGTGACAGTCTTTTTATCGTGCCATGGTAGTCTTGGCCGGTATTCAAACCGACAGTGCGGTGTTACTTTCGTTATAATTCAAGCATTGTGGTCAACATGTATTAATGATTAATAACTCCTTAAAACATTAATTTATGGGTACTACACACACTTCCACAAGGTCAAATGATTGTCCATACATCACCTAGGGTCACACGGAGAGTAACACTAGAATATTTATTAACAACTGCAGAGAGAAAGAGAGGAGGGCTAGTATGGAGACAGGAGGAAGTTGAGCATCCAAGAATATCCAACCTGCGGTTTACCTGGAGTCGATTCCGGGGGTTACCGCCCCAGCGGCCCGGATCCAGACTAGCAGGAATAAAACACACAACAAAAATTATCACAACAAGTTGAAATAACTAGCATTAGTTAAAAATCCGGTTAAATTGTTAATGACTAAAACCTGTCTTAAAGTTTCCCAAGATACACAAACACCACGGTAGTTATAAAACCTGCGACGAAAGCGAGAAGGCCTAAGTCCTAGGGAAATAAGTAGAGAGAGGGGAGAGAGGAGGGGGAGAGAGAGGGGGGGGGGGGGGGGGGGGGGGGGGAAAGAGAGAGAGAGGAGAGAGAGAGAGAGAGAGAGAGAGAGAGAGAGAGAGAGAGAGAGAGAGAGAGAGAGAGAGAGAGAGAGAGTATAAAGGAAAGAAGTGAACGAACAAAGCTTTTAGAAGACCAAAATTGTATACATCAGCAGTGTGCTAGGCGCTAAGACAAAATTGTATACATCAGCAGTGTGCTAGGCGCTAAGACAATATTGTATACATCAGCAGTGTGCTAGGCGCTAAGACAATATTGTATACATCAGCAGTGTGCTAGGCGCTAAGACAAAATTGTATACATCAGCAGTGTGCTAGGCGCTAAGACAAAATTGTATACATCAGCAGTGTGCTAGGCGCTAAGACAAAATTGTATACATCAGCAGTGTGCTAGGCTAAGACAAATTGTATACATCAGCAGTGTGCAGCGCTAAGACAATATTGTATACATCAGCAGTGTGCTAGGGCGCTAAGGACAAATTGTATACATCAGCAGTGTGCTAGGCGCTAAGACAATATTGCATACATCAGCAGTGTGCTAGGCGCTAAAGACAATATTGTATAACATCAGCATGTGCTAAGCGCTAAGAACAAAATTGTATACATCAGCAGTGTCTAGCGCTAAGACAATATTGATACATCAGCAGTGTGCTAGGCGCTAAGACAATATTGTATACATCAGCAGTGTGCTAGGGGCTAAGACAATATTGTTACATCAGCAGTGTGCTAGGCGCCTAAGACAAAATTGTATACATCAGCAGTGTGCTAGGCGCTAAGACAAAATTGTATACATCAGCAGTGGCTAGGCGCTAAGACAAATTGTATACATCAGCAGTTTTGCTAGGCGCTAAGACAATATTGTATACATCAGCAGTGTGCTAGCGCTAAGACAATATTGCATACATCAGCAGTGTGCTAGGCGCAAGACCCAAAATTGCATACATCGCAGTGTGCTAGGGGGCTAAGACAATATTGTATACATCAGCAGTGTGCTAGGCGCTAAGACAATAAATTTCATACATCAGCAGTGTGCTAGGCGCTAAGACAAATATTGCATACATCAGCAGTGTGCTAGGCCTAAGACAAAATGTAACATCAGCGTTGAGCCTAAAAAAAAT